TCAAAGGTAACTTTTTTCACTGTTATCTAGTTTGAAAACAGAAAAGAGAATGAAGCAGCCTTGTCATACATCTCTTTTTTGAAAATTCTTAAATAGGTTGTTGTGAAATGAACCATATGCTATGCATATAAACTAAGATTATTTTTCTGACCATTTCTAATATAAACAGACTGTACATGTGCAAATCTTAAGTTTTAACTATGCAATCAATTGCTGTTTACTTCCTTAAGAAAGACAAGGCTGGCTTGTTACAGCCTTTTTTAAAATGTTTCACATGGTCAGTTTTTGATACAGCATAAGCAGCCCTATTGTCATAAGATGCTTTTAACTACATCTTGCTTTTCTACTACTCCTCTCAAAAGGTCAGAGGGAAGATAAGAGGCTTCTTCTAACAAGCTTTTGTTGTCTGCTCTGTGAGCTGTGTGGCTGTGTAAACCCTCTTGCATACCAAGAAAGTTTTGCAAAAATATCCCACTGCCACTAATTGTAATAGTGTTGGCAGTAACAGGCACTGTATTGTAGGTAGCTCGCTCGCTGCTCCCAAGCGTTTTGATCAACATGGGTGAAATCTGAGCCTAGCAAAAGTCAATGAGAGTTTTGTCTCTGATTGCGCAGCAGCCAGGATTTCTCTCCAGCTGTTACAAACACAGTCAGCATGGTAATGAGGAGAGCACACCGATTGGTATGACTTGATGTAAAAAGGAAAAAACTCACGCATACAGTGTGTCTGTATGTGGATTTCCTGCTCTCCCTAAAACTCTTCCTTTACTGTAGCTGAGTATTCCTTGAGCTGGGAGTTTTTAGAATATAGTGAATGCTTTTTAAAAAGTTGACCTAATCCACAGTCTTCATATAAGCAACTTAATACTGTGCTGAAAATCTCTCAAGTCTTTACAACTCTCGTGAGATCACCTAAAACCTAGATTATTGGGTCTTATCCTGTGAGCATAGAATGGATGGAGACATCCAGTCAAAACAGGGCCAATTATGGATTGTTCCGAGCACCCTGCGACATCCTAACTGCATTGTGCTTTAACACACAGGAAAAAGGACAGTTGTGGTCATGCAGGCAGTATGGTTGGAGTTTGGGTAATGCTGCTATGTTTTAAGCTATTTAGTAGGTCTAATGCTTGTATAAAATACTTTTCACGGAAATCTTAAAGTTGGCATGGTGGTTGCTACCCTAAGATTCCAAAGTATAGATTAAAAGGTGATTTAGGGAGATGGAGTGATGAACACTCCTAAAAACAGAACTTTCTCGTTACCATGGTTTTAATGTGTGCTTCAAATGCTGTAGATATGGCTAGAAAGTCTAGAGGAAATCATGGCATGTGAACAACCAACACCGCTGCTGCAAGTGTCTTACTGGCACGCTTGAAATGTGATTCATTAACTCGGTATCTTGCTCGTAATCTGAGGGGTTTTTTAAATAGAAAACCTGATTAGGGTGCACTAGTTGGGGGGGAAAACAAAGGTGATATTCTATATTGTATCAACTACTCTAAATTCATCACTGGGTGCTGCTGAAATGTGTGTGACTAATTAAGAATGGTAGTTTTCCATATGGTTTGCTAAATCATTTGTCATGTTCCCATTTGCTGAACCATCAGATGTAGAATAACCAATTATTTCATTTGATTAAAAAAAATCTTTTAATTAGAACTTGTATCTTGAAATCTTATAAAGGAAGAGTTGATCTTAAAGTTATTTTTTCTTAATTTTTTTTTTTGCGGGAGGGAGGAAGCTAAAGATACTTGGTATTTAAGAAGATTGTAAAGGAAAGGAAATGAGTTTGCGGAAGTTGAAGATAGTAGAGGGTTTGAGGAAACTGGAGGCTTCCTGTATGACTTTGAGCAGATCACTTAGCCATACAGTCTCGATTTGCCCCATAAAATGGGGGCAATGAAGAAATATAGGTAGTTGGAAGGTCCCACTTAGTTGCTTTATATAAAAATGAATGTTTGGAAGGCAGAAATCATCCTTTGAGGGGGGAAAAAAGATTTGCAAAAGCAGAAGTGCTCTCAATGCATATCATATCTGTTATCACGTGTAGCTTTACCTCTCATAACAAGGACATATATGGGATAACACAACAAGAATTGGGGGTTATGAATATATTTAGAAAATGGTTGAGCTAAAAAAAGGCAATATTGCACTGAAATCTCCAAAATGTGATGCACCTGTATTTATCAGACTGTCACTTGACATGGGTTCCTCAGTTTCACTATTTCATAATCCTCAGTAATGCCTATTTTACATCTCAGTGCTCCATTTCTGTAAAAGAGCTTCTCAAAAAAAAAAAAAAAAAAAAAAAAAAAACCAAAGGAAAAGAACAAACAAACAAAAAAACCAACCCCAAAATGTGGCAAAACCTGAACAAGATGCAGCCATACTGCTCAGGCTTACTGCTTCTTTCATATGTACTTCCAGCAGCTTGTAGAGCTTACTTTACAGAGAAGGCAAATTTGGAAATAATACGGATGGCTTGTGCAAAATGAAAAATTACATTGATTAACTACAAAGTGGTTTAAAAATACGAGCTCAGGTAGTCCTGTTATCTGATAGCTTTTGATTCCAAGTTCATCCTTCAGCCCCTATATACAATTGTGTTCTGTTAAATTAACCCGGCATGTTGTTTTCCTAAGGTTTATGGGTCATTGACAGTATTAGGTTTCATGCAGGCCAGCTGCTCCCAAATCCAGTCCTGTCCTACACTCCAGCAAAGTCGGAGCCAGCGAAGAGGGGAGCACACGCACAAAGGCTGGTGGAGGCAGGAAACGCAGTATGAAGACAGCCAAGTAGTTTGACTTGCAGCTTTGCTGTTAAAAGATTTTCACAAATTCCACGCTCATTAGCAAAATGTTTTTCAAAATGTAGTGTTAAATTACAGTTGTTCCTTCGGACTGTTTTTGTTGCTCCTTGGGACTGTTTTCCTAAATTCTAATTACAAAGGCAAGCCTGAAATGAGGAGCGTTTCAAAGCCCCCTGGCAAGGAAGATGCAGTATCTGTCACACACAGAGTTGAAAGGAAATGGGGATCTACAAAAGGAACCGAAATCGACTTGGAGCCTTTCCCCACCACCCCAGCAGTTTTACAGTTATGTCTGGGTTTTTTTAATGTCATAATGCGGTGACTGAGTTTTTGGAGAAGCCTAGGATGGTAGGCGGGGGTCTGAACCGCACAAGCACCATCAGGGTTCATGGCAGAAGGTGTCTGTGCCCAGCCGCGGCAGTGCCAGGCTGTCAGCTCTGCTCCTTTCGGCCTGGCTGCTGCACGCTCTCCCTTCTCGGCAGGCAGGAGCTGAGCACAGCACACGCCTGGGATTAAAAGCGTTACTGACATTGGGCCTCTCCGCTCTGCTTGGAGAATTTTTGTGCAGAGGTAAACACTATCCAGAAAGTTAAATCCATAGAGTGCCCCTATGTTCAACTACAGGCGAGCATCCGTCCTTAACAGCCGGTGTTTGGGACTACAGGTAATAGTAGCCAGAGCACTCGGGACAGCGTGGTGTTCCTTCTGTTCTCGCGGACAAGTTGAAGGTTGTCATGGTTTTTAAGGCACTACAAAGCCTATCGGACATGGCGTGACAGAGAATTGCAGTTCTGGGGCTTTTTAACTGGCGTGTCTGGTGGAGCTAGGAAATGCCTCTAGCACGTTTGCTCCAGAAACCTGCCTCTCTGACAGGAAAATACCGGTTGCTTTAGTGGAAGATGCAGGAAACCTAGTAGCTGCCAATTATAAAGTGCTTGCAGGCACATTTTTCTAACTTTGGCAATTCGTGGCAGGCTACTGTTCTCCAGTTGGAGCTTTTCTACCTTAACAGACTGTTGATATCATGTTGCTTAAGATATATCTAATGTCTGATTATGTGCAGGCCTGGGAATGCATGAATTCTAGTGAGTTGCAGTGGGATTATCTGGCAGTATCAGACTTTTATTTTTCAAGTTAACTGTGTGAAACCGTTTCTGTGTTTCAGTAAAGCATCCTAATTGCCAGTAAATAATACAGCAGAAAGGCAACTCTCTTCCTATGTGTAGTTTGCTGTATTATTTCTTTACAAGGTGGTTCGTAAGGGGGTAACCCATTCTAGCGGTCAGTTGGCAGCCGTGTTAACATTCCTATTTAGAGCTGGGTCATTGACTTATGCAATGATCTTGAACGAATTGCTTCTCTTGATGAAAAGTGAGGCATATGGAAGATAGAGGGGGTAATATCAAAGCATATTAGATCCTCTGAAGAGCATCGTGTAAGGGCCAAGAGCAGTTATTTAAACCAACTGCAATTAAGAGTCTTGCTCCAAAAGGCATTTTGGGAGAAGTTGCTTGTCATTTAGTACATAGCTGACATCTCATATTTAAAACTTCTGTAACACCTTAGTGTGTGCACGCATGCACGCACCCAGTGCGTGGGAGAAGAGCATTTCTGGAGGGACCCAAAGAATTGAATCTCTCTCGAGAAATGAACAGCTGGCCTCGCACACGCAGCCAGTAACTAGGAAGAAGAGGGTTTTATATTGAGTCTGAATGAAAATCAGGACAAACATCAGTTGTTAGAATGTGCCAATCAAGGGCATCTTGGTGAATTCCATGTAGAGAGAAATTTTAATTTAGAGCTAGTGTTCAGTCCGTAACCAAAGAAATACTCTTCAGATAAAAGTGCTTCAGATTTCATGGTATGGGAAACCAATAATTATGAGATCCAGTGAACAATACAAGGTAGAATTGCTAAAGGGATTAATTAGCCTTAGTCTAACTAACCACTATAATTGATGCAAATATACATCTGCAGTGTGCTGAGACATTAGATAGTCACCATACACCTGCTCAATTTACCAGTGTTGCAGAACACAGCTGTCAGAATCATTTTTGGTTGTTGGTTTGTTGGGGTTTTTTGGGTTTGGTTTTTTTCTTCCCCCCCCCGGAACTCCTTGAGCATAATTGACTGTTTGTTCTTTTGTTGTTCAAAATGCTTTCTTTTTATCTTTTCTTTTTCTAAACAGCACTTCCATGATGGCAGAAAGGCACAACAACATCTTGAAACTTGCTGGAAACAACTTGAAGCAGTAAGCGGAAACTTCCTCAGATGTGACATTTAAGTCACTTGTATACTGTTTTTGTAGAGATGGTTCCAAACATTATATTTGAAAAAAGAAGGGTGTATGGATATAAGCTGTAGAAATGGGATTTTTAAAACTCTCCTGTCTTAAATACACTGGTAGACATGAAAAAGTCTGCTTTAATAGTACATTTGGCTTTCGGTGGGATCTGTGTCTATCATGAGTAGCATTTAATTTGATATGACTTGAAAAGTGTGCTAAGCGTTGCTGGAAATGCAGAGTCCCTAAGGGTCCTGTTCAGATACTCTACTCTAAGCTGAATAGCTTCATACTGCGTGAATAAATTGAATGGGGCCATCTCTTGAGTAAGGTGCTGTTTCTCAAAAGTAAATACATTGGAACTGTTGTTCACGTGATGAGTGAGACTGTAACTAGAGGAGAGGATAAAGAAAGCGGACATCAGTAACCGAAAGTCCTATTTGCAATTGTATGAATCTTAGTAACTCCCTTGTTGTGCATTGTAAAAATGGGGGAGTTCAGTGCTGGAAGGGAGTGATTTTTGTCTACAAGAGCAGAAGAGATGCTAACGGGGAAAAATGTTGAAATGCTAGTCATGTTGGCAGAATCAGGCAGCCTGAAGAAGGTAACAAAAAAAATGTGGTTTTGGTAACTTTGGTTTTTGAAGTTCTTTAATATGGAAATGTATTCCAATGTAAACAAGCAAGTCCTAAAATCTGAGAGTTGTTATAGCAGATCAGTTTAGGGGCTGGTATTGATTTTAGGTAGATTTTGATATCATGTTTCTTTCCCACAATGAAGGCTTCTATTTTTCCTTTTCAGAGTAAAAGGCGGTTTGAACGTGATTGCAAAGAAGCTGATCGAGCACAGCAGTATTTTGAGAAAATGGATGCTGACATCAATGTTACAAAAGCAGATGTTGAAAAGGTAAGCCAGAGGGTAGAGAGACTGTTTGTAAACATGGAGGTTTAGTTCCTCAATCCTGCTGGCAGGATAAACCCTCTGAGGCTTAATACCTCACTTAAATTAAGTCAGTCCATAGGTTAATTAAAAATAGGGAGATCTCTGCAGAGACCTATATTTGCATAAAAATACTAAACAGATACAGTCGGTTTTCTTCAGTAAGGTGATATCTGAGTTTAACATAGCTGACGTGGCTCTAAATGAGCTTGTGCAAAATCAGTTTTAACTAACACCCCAGATCCTGTGACAGTCAAGCTTGTGAGGGCTCCTTGGGGGCTGCTTGCAGCTACCACACGTTGTTGGTCAGTCTGTGATCCATTTAGAACTAAACATCCTGCCTTTTGAGGAACTCTTCGAAGGTGTCGCAATGCCATTGGTTGCAATGAGGTATTATCTGGATTGTTGTTCATGGTCCTAGGTTTACAGCAGAACAGCATTTCATGTTATGCAGAATCCTGGAGTCCGTGCTTGTCACAGATGGCACATAGCTCTTATTTTTATTTCCCAGTTTTTGTCTGGTTGCAGAGTCATTTGTGGCTTTTATACATTGATCCCCATTCAGCAAAGCTGTTGAACTGATGCTTAATTTTAAACATACATTTCTCTTTCGGCATGTCCGTCTTGAAGTATTTTTTTCTTTTTAGTTTCATTCAGAATTTGATGTGCAGAAGGATGCTTGAAGTTTAAATGTCCAAGTCCAGTGATGTACCTGTAACTTAAGGAAGCAATGGAGAGGGAGAAAGCGTATTTAAATTGCTTCTCTTTTTGATGTTACACATCTGCTCAGAAGATGCAGTAATGTAGATCAGAAACACCATATTACAATGTGTAAAGGCAGTTTGTTTTCCCTGAGTTTGATTCATATAGGTAGAAGATAGCCAGAACCTTTGAAAAGGTTTGTTTCTTTAAAAAAAGAAGGGGTAACAAAAAAGCAAGAGGAAAAAAAAAAGCTGAAGCTTAAAATACACCAAACATTTTGTTGCAGGGACAGGAAAAGAAACTGAATTATAGGTAAGGAACTTTTTCTAGTCCAAGATAACCCTTGTAAAATGTAGGTTTTGCTCCTCAAGAGATCTGCTGCATTTTGTTCTCAGTTAATTCAGTCCTGGGAAGCTATCAAATACAAATGTTTCTTTACGTTTGTGGGATCTTAAGATGTTTCTAGTATGCTGAGCATCATGGAGGTTGCGTAGCAGATAGCATCAAGGATGCTATTAGAAATGAGAACAGTAAATGAAGAAGCAGCTCAGAAAATTTCCCCAAAGTGCTATTGCATATCAAAGGAAAAAAAAAAAGCTTCTGTGGTCTTATAATTTGCTTGGCTATTAGATGTAAATTCACCATGCAGATTTGATCCTTTGTTACCTTCTGGATTTGCCAGGGCACTTTATAGATGAATGCTTGTACAGGATTGTTAAAGACTTAACACCACATGTGGGTTTTTCTGACAGAGGAGGATCATCTCTGCTTTATCTGTATAAAGTGATTTTTAGAATACATTTGTTTTTTTCATAGATAAAATTAGGACTTGCCCTAGAT